GAGAGCCCTTCATCCATGGTTTCGAGCCCCATTTGCTTTTTCCGCATCGGACAGGGCTCTCCCTTCCGGTGCAGCAGAGCCGCAGCTCCCTTCGGTCATAGTGAGAGCCCTCCATCCAACGCTTTAAACCACGCCACCTATTCAGCTGCAAGAGGGACTCTCCCTTCCGGTGTAGCAGAGCCGCAGCTCCCTTCGGATGCAGCGAGAGTCCCTCACCTGGCCTTCCATCGTGCTCCTCATTCGGCGACAGGTAGGGCTTGCCATCTGACGCGGAGAGTCGCAGCTTACGTTCAAGCACCGCATGACCCCTCCCAGTCGCCCTGCCGCCTCCTCGCACACCCTACTTTTCTTCATGGCACGCATATTTTTGGGGGCTACTTAGTTTTCTCTCCGGCTGCTGTCCCATGCTATTAGCTTCTTTTGGGGAGTTCTCTGGGTTCGGGCTTTAACCCGAGCTCAGAGCCCTCCCTCTGGACAGCACGGCAAATATGCTACTAATTGCTTAATCACATTATATGTTAGTGTGAACTCGTGAATGTGCATTCTGAGGTGGTATGGGCTGGTGAGTGTGTGAGAAGTGGGCTGGGGTGTTTTGAGGGGGTTTGGTGTTCCCCCTTGGTGGTTATGGGGGGGTGAACAATCATGTAACAACATAAAAAATTATATGTTGTTACATAAATCACATTATATGATTGTTTAGGGATGCAGCTAAACCGTGCAGGACACTGGACCTCAAAGGTAGAACTGCCAACCCCCGAGAATGAAGACGAGACAGGTCAGAAATGTAAAAATAAAAGAAATGTCTGTGCCTCAAATTTAGGACACTTAAGACATGTCATACATGCAGAATATTTTGAATATTAAATTTTTTTTTTGCATAAAATAAATCATAGAATTATCGATGATTTAGGCTATTTTTTATACCCTAAAAGGGCAACGTATCCTGGGTGATACAACTCATAAAATCCTAAATATATAAAATATTTTAAAAAATTATTTGAATATGTTTTACTTAAGTCCAGATGATAAAAAAGTGACATAAAATGTTTTTTTTGCTGATCATTTTCCACTCTTGCCTGTTTTAGGGTTAAGGCCCTCTCTAGCACTGAAAAACGCTTCATCCACATGCAGCATACTGGGGTAGGAAGGCACCAAGCCATGTACGAATCTCATGATCACGTCACATCCGGTCTACTGAGGTACCTTGTCAGTTTTGTTGCTCAGCTGTCACAGAATCAAACGTGCAGGACTGTGGGATATTATAGGCAGCAAAGGACACACATATGCTGCCTTCAAAAATCAGTCAGAAGATGCAAGTCAGCACCAACCAGTGGTTGTTTGACATTCTGTATTGTACTCTTTGCAGTAAGGTGCACTTTTTTGGATGTTCATGTTACGGGGTGAACGAGGCATGAGACTTGCGGATCCATTTGCAAAGCTTTAATAGGAGACAGAGACGTGGTCATAAAACAGGCATGGGTCAGACAATGGCAAACAGGTATATTGAGGACAAGACAGAAGAGTAATTCAAAACCACCAGAAGACCACCACAGAGGAGCAGAAGACCACCAGGCCAGAGCAGACAGAGCAGAAGACCACCACGACGGAGCAGACGGCACAGAAGCCCACCAGGGCGGAGCAGACGGGACAGAAGCCCACCAGGGCAGAGCCGAAGACCACCAGGGCCAGATAGCAGACCACCACGGAGAAGCAGACAAAACAGGCGGAGCAGAAAACCACCACAGGGGAGCAGACAGAGCATAAACTCCTTGCAAAGACTGGAACCTAGGGAAAACTGAGACACAAGAAACAGAGAGAGCATATACGGCCTCAAGGACCGAGGCAGGGGACACAAGAAGTTCCTCAATATTTTCTCTGGTGACAACTGAGTGGGCAGATAGTTCAAAACCAGGCTTACGGACTGAAACTAGACAATCAGACAGTTCATAAACAAACTCCCAAACTAGGACTGCCACGACAGACAATTCAGACAAATTTGGGGGAACAGAACAAGCAGATAGTTCATGAATTGTCTCTATGATAGTGACAGGGTTAACGGGACAAACATGGAATGCATTTATGGTTTCTGGGCTCAGAACTGGACTAATGGGGCAACTAACAGGTTCCTTGTTTTGAACTGGACAGACAGATGGATCAACAGACTCATTGGGGAAAATGGGATAGACAGACAATTCAAAAACTGATTCAAAGGTTGATCTAGGACAGACTGACAGTTCATGATCAGACTGATTGACAGAAACTGACAAGACAGAGAGTTCAAAATCAGCATCTAGATGGACAGACAGATCACAATCAGCCTCCATGGGGGATTCAGAACAGGACGAGAGTTCAGAGATGGCCTCCTCGGCCGGTTCAGAGCAGGATAAAAGTTCATAAATGGCCTCCGTAGCCTTGAAAGGACAGGCAGAGAGTTCACAGACGGCCTCCATAGCCATGACAGGACAGGCCGAGAGTTCACAAATGGCCTCCATAGCCATGACAGGACAGGCAGAGAGTTCACAAATGGCCTCCATAGCCGTGACAGAACAGGCAGAGAGTTCACATATGGCCTCCATAGCCAGGACAGGACAGGATGAGGATTCGCAGATGGCCTTCATAGCCGTCACAGGTAGCGAGTTCATAGATGGCCTCCTTGGCCGGAACAGAATAGGACGAGAGTTCATAAGTGGATACCACTGACACCTCTGGAGGTTCTGCAGCGGATGCCGCCACCTCTGGAGGTTCTACAGTAGGACCATCGGGATACGGGGAGAGTTCAGAAATGGTTCCTTTGACCGTGACCAGACAGGCTGAAGGTGCGTTGCTGGGCGCCACCACCGTGCAAGGAGCTGAGGCGAGCACCACCACCTTGGGAGGTTCTGCAGCATGGGCCGCCACATCTGGAGGAGCTACAGCGGGCGCCATCGCCTCGGGGAACATGGCAGCGTGTGCTTCCACCTCGGAAGGATCTGCAGCATCAGCCGCCACCTTGGGAGACATCGCAGTGGCCGCCACCGTCTCTAAACTTTCAGTGGTGGTGTACGCAGCCCAAATACACCATCAAGCGATCCCCATTGTGGGAAGCGCTACAGACAGGGGAAACAGTTCAGGAACTGGAGGGCTTAAGAGCACTGGTTTAGGGATACCAGCTGCACTTGCCGACACCAACGGTGGGTGCTCCATGCTGGATGCCAGTCAGGGATACTGAAGTACAGTCCTTGAGGATCTGGGTGCAACAGGCAGGACGTGACAGGACTCTGGATGATCAGCTGTGATGTGACGTGACTCTGGAGGATC